CGCCTGCTGGGCTCCAGCGATCCTTCCGCCTCAGCCTTCCGAGTAGGCGGAATTACAGGCATGCGCTACCACGCCCAGCTGAATTTTTGATTTATTGTAGAAATGAGGTCTCGCTGCCCAGGCGGGTCTCGAACCCGCGGGCTCAGGCAATCCACTCACCTCAGCCTCCCAAAGGCGCGGGATTACAGGCTGAGCCACCGAGCCCGGCTGTGATGGGTTATTTTGATGCTCTCTATTCCATTGGTCAATACGTCTGTCATTATGCCAGTATCACATTGTTTTGATTGCTTCAGCTTTTTTTGTAGTAAGTTTTGAAATCAGAAATGTGAGTCCTGCAGCCTTGTTCTTCGTTTTTAACATTGTTTTGGCTATTTGGGGTCCCTTAAAATTTCGTATGTATTTTAGGATGAGTTTTTCTATTTCTGCAAAAATGGTATTTTGGATAGAGCTTGCATTGATTCTGAAGATCACTTTGGATAGTATTGAGATCTCAACAATATTCCCTTCTAATACATGAACATAGGATGTGTTTCCATTTTTTTATGTCTTAATTTCTTCCAGGAATGGGTTAGTTTTCATTATACAAGCCTTTGACCTCTTTGGTTATTTCTTAAGCATATTACTACTACTACTACTACTACTACTACTACTATTATTATTTGAGACAGGGTTTCACTTTCACCCAGGCTGGAGTGCAGTGATGCAATCTTGGCTCACTGCAGCCTTGAACTCTGGGCTCAAGTTATCCTCCTGTCTCAGCCTCCCAAGTAGCTGGGACTACAGGCATGTACCACCACATCTGGTGAATTTTTAAATATTTTGTAGAGACGAGATCTCGCTATGTTGCCCAGGCTTGTCTGGAACTCCTGGCCTCAAGGAATCCTCCCACCTCAACATCCCAAAGTGCCGGGATTATAGGTGTGAGCCACCGCACCCGGCCATTTTATTATTTTTTATACTATTGTAAATTGAATGTTTTTTGTAATTTTTTTTCATACCATTCATTCTTTTGTCTGATAAAGATGTGGGGTACAATTCAGGGTTAGGTATACAAATGTTCATTATGCAGGTACCCTTGTTGATGACGTTTGCCCCCCACCCCCGGCAGATTCCCACTACAGCCAATCCCGCCTCCCCCCAGACCATTCATTCTTAGTGTATAAAAGTGCAGCTGATTTTTGTGTGTTGACTGTGTGTCCTGCTGCATGACCGAATTCATTTATTAGCACTAACAGTTTTTTGTGGAATTTTTAGATCTTTTTACTTAAAAGATCATATCACCTGCAAACAGAGATAATTTACATTTCACTTTCAGACTAGATGCCTTTTTAATCTCTTTTTCTTGTCTAATTGCTCTGGCTAGAACTTACAGTACTAAGTGAAACAGAAGTGGTGGAAGTGAGCATCTTTGTTTTGTTTCTCATCTTAGAGAAAAGGCTTTCAGTCTTTCACTATTAAATGTGATGTTTGCTGTGGATTTTTCACATATAACATTTAAGGTAGTTTCCTTACATTCCTAGTTTGCTGAAAAAAATTTTTTATTGTGAGACAATATTACATTCTGTCAAATGCTTTTTCTGCACCAACTGAGATGATCATACAGCACTTCCCCCTTCGTTTTGTTAATGTGGTGTATTACATTGATTCGTTAATTAAAAAAAAATTTAGAGACAGAGTCTTGTTCTGTTGCCCAGGCTAGAGTACAGTGATACAATCATATAGCTCACTGCAGTCTTGAATCCCTGGGCTCAAGTGAGCCTCCTACTTAGGCTTCCCAAGTAGGTTGGACTACAGCTGTCTGCCATCACACCCAGCTTGAGTATTCTAGTCTCTAATATGGGGAAAGGGCACCGCTCTTATACCTCCTGGAAGTCACTTCAGCTGGAAGGAAAGGGGCTTGCAACAATGGATGTAGGTGCAACCACAATGACTGCCAACCTCTTTATCTTTACCTCTGTGGTCAGAAGTAGCAGTCAGCGATTAGAACACAGATCCTCAATATTTGGAAGACAATATTTGCCCACCCTGGCTCCCACAAGCTGTGTACAGGCTGCTTCAGGAACTTGTGCTCAGTTGACTGCCCTGGGGTTGGTGATGAAGAATGGGTAGTTATCACTGTGCTGAAAGCTGAACATGACTGAAATTGGTTGAAATGACCACCGTTTGCCTTTTGAGTCTTTCTTTGGAAGTTGCAAGACTTCAATAGACTCCAGATTTCTAAAATAGTTACATCAGACAGATTCTGTCAATGCAGTTTTTGCCTAGGTGAGGAGACAGGTTGCTGGTACTTCCTACTCTGCCATCTTCCCATAATCCATATGTGTGTTAAAAGTATAGGAAGTAGAAAAATCTCGAGAGATATGGAGGGAACTAGTAGAAAAAAATAAAAATTGAAAATGGCAGATAGCTCTAAGTAGTCTAAAATGCAAACGAGTTAGATCTAACCAAAGGACACTTCAAAAATTATAGGAAATAAATTAATCCCATTTGAGAGATTGGATACAAAGACAAGATATAGTTCCGTTTCAAAACGGAGGTTAAAAATATGTTTCAAAGGGTCTTAAATTACTTTGAAAATTGGAGTACAGGCCCGGCTTGGTGGCTCAGCCTGTAATCCTAGTACTTTGGGAGGCCAAGGCGAGTGGATTGCCTGAGCTCGTGGGTTTGAGACCAGCCCAGGCAAATTGGCAAGACCTCGTCTCTACAATAATTCAAAAATTAGCCAGGTGTGGTAGCGCACACCTGTAGTTCTGGCTACTTGGAAGACTGAGGCAGAAGGATCACTGGAGCCCAGCAGGTTGACACTGGGGTGGGTGGCCTAGATGACTGAGTGAGACTTCAGCTCAAAAAAGAAAAAGAAAAAGAAAATTGGAGTACAATTGAAGTGAGCCATAAATAGATAATATTGTATTATAAGAGCTTTAGTTGCTGTGTAAGAGTAGGATTGCTACAGTGTGTTCTGGAAACTGCAAAATAAGGCAAATAATTCTAAAGTAGATTGTAGTCTCCAGTAGGAACAAAGTTTTAATTAGAGACTCTACTTGGTAAATGATTTTTCTTCAAAAATGTCATTGATGTGAATGTTAAGCCAAAATGGAATAGCCATACACTCCTGTAATTATTCGAAGTCCTAATGATAGCACTGTTGCCTGAGTTATTGGTAATTCCTGGCACTAACTGTTTTTTAGTGCAGTGTGATAGGAATTCCTTACTTCCATGAAAACTCGTTCTGCTCCTTCACACAGTTTGGCCTTGGGAAAAGCTATGGATAGTAGAGTTAGGAGAAAGGAAATGAATACTGATGGCCAAGAGCATTTGTAGGCTGTTGACCAAGTAGCTACTATGAATAAAATTGACGATTAGGGAAACCCCCGTACTTAGTGCCTGTGAGATTGATGTTTTGAGACAAATGAAATTTTTTGCTTAGTTAGAGAGGGAGGTAACATTATATGTATTGTTGATTATATAAGAGGATAAGGTCACTCCAAAGTATTAGCAGAGAGCATCAAATTTAACTCTGTCATTTGATAAATCACTGTAATTATAGTCCCTAAGTAATTAATAATTATTCAGTTTGTCGCTTTGGAAAGTTTGTGGGGAATTGTTTTTTAAATAACTTTAATAATCTTCATTTTTGAATAATTTTTGATTTACAGAAAAATTGCAAAGATATTACAGAAGATTCCCGTCTCATCTCCCCCCCTCCCCCCCAGTTTTGGAGGGTGATTTTGATAGTCTTGGTCTCAGGAGTTCTCAGGAAAGTTTGAAATGATGTCTCACACTTTCTCCTTTCTCCCTTGCCTCTTCAGATTAGTCAAAGCTCTAGCTCCAGCTGTTTAGTGTCAGACCTCAGGGGAACAAGGGCTGCTAAATCTCTTTCTCAGTACTTCTTCAGAAAAGCTATAAAAAAAACAATTACCAGGTCATGCTAGTAAGTACAACTCAAGACGAACTTTTAGGTCGGGCAACTTGGCGAGATCTCGTCTCTACAACAAATCAAAAATTAGCCAGGCATGGTAGCGTGTGCCTGTAGTTCCGGCTATTTGGAAGGCTGAGGCGGAAGGATCACCGGAGTCCAGTAGGTCGAGGCTGTGGTGGCCAGGAGCATGCCACCGCACTCCAGTCTGGGTGACAGAGTGAGACTCCAACTCAAAAGAGAAAAACAAGATGAACTTTTAAAACTGATTCGCAGAGCTGCTGAGATTGAACTGTCTGTATTGTGTGAGGTGAGATGTGGAACCCAAGATCAGGGAACTCCAAATTCCAGGAGGAGAGCAGCTTGGAAATGCTAGAATTTAAGAATATAACTTCACTATCAAGTAGTTAAGAATGTGACCTTGGAGCCACACTTTCCAGGTTGCAATGCCAGTTCTGCCATTTACTAGCCATGGGATGTAGGACAAGTGACTTAACCTTTCTGTGCGTCAGTTGCCTCATCTCTAATGTGAGGCTAATAGGAGTCCCTATCTCAAAGGTTATTGTGAGGAGTAAATGGGTTATCATGTGTAGTCTGTTTAAAATAGTGCCAGGCTGGGCATGGTGACTCACGCTTGTAATCCCAACACTTTGGGGGGCCAGGGTGCGAGGATTGCTTGAGGCCAGGAGTTTGAGACCAACCTGGGCAACATAGCGAGACCTCATCTCTATAAAATTTTTTTAAAAAAATTAGCCAGGCAGAGCAGTGCATACCTGTGGTTCCAGCTAGTCAAGAGGCTGAGGTGTAAGGATCGTCTGAGCCCAAGAGGTTGAGATTGTGGTAAGCTGTAATCATACCACTGCCCTCTAGCATGGTCAACAGAGTGAGACCCTGACTATAACCAACTAACTAGCTAGCTAACTAACTAACTAATAGTGCCTGACTCAGTAAATGTTAGATATTAACTCAGCTATTATTATTTTTGGCTTCTAAGACTTAGGAGAATGGACCAATCTTTTAATGAACCATTAAAAATACTGAGTAGTGTTGATAAGCTTATTTTTTGTGCTTGGTTTGAACAGAAACTCAGCCACCTGTGACAAACTTGAGTGTCTACGTTGAGAATCTCTGCACAGTTATATGGACTTGGAATCCTCCTGAGGGAGCCAGCCCAAATTGTAGTCTATGGTATTTTAGTTATTTTGGTGACAAACAGGATAAGGTAAGTTTTCTGGAACATATTATTATATATTGATGAAGTAAAGCGAACAGCATGGACTGGAGCTAAGAATAAACCAAATTCTAAACTTACATCAAAATGGGGATTTTATTTTGGAGTATTTCCCAATTTCACTTGGGAAAGTTATTGAAACAGCTGTTGACATAACCGAACACTTAAAAATGTTTGCTAGTTATTTGATAATTAAATGTAATTGAGATTGCTCTGATAGGAAATACTGGATATCTTTATCCATTAGGCATTCAATATATAATTATGTTATTGTTAAAATTTGTTCCTGTGGCCTGTAATCCCAGTACTTGGGGAGGCTGAGATGGGAGGATTGCTTGAGGTCAGGAGTTTGGAACCAGCCTAGGCAGCATAGGAGGACCTCATCTCTACAAAAATAAATAAATCAGTTGGGCGTGGTGGTGCATATCTGTATTCCCACCTACTCGGGAGGCTAAGGTGGAACGATTGTGCGAGCCCAGGAGGTCAAGACTGCAGTGATCATGCCACCACCCTCCAGCCTGGTCAACAGAGTGAGACCTTGACTCAAAAATAATTGTTCCCGTGTTCCTGACTGCAGCTATATCAACTTGTATCTATATAACACTTTTAAGTTTTTGGGGAATTTTCACATTTACCTTTTTTCTTCTTCTTCTTCTGGAGGGAAATTTGCTAACCTGCCTTCCTCTCCTGTCCTGCCGAGGTGTTCATTATGGTTTAGGTGTGATTAGATAAAGAATCGAGGCTAGTCCAGTCTCGCTGTGTTGCCCAGGCTGGTCTTGAGCTCTTGGGCTCAAGCAGTCCTCTCTCCTCAGCCTCCCAAAGTGCTGGGATTATAGGTGTGAGACACCACACCCAGCTTCACATTTACCATCTTGTTAATCACATGTAAAGATAGATATGCAAAAACTTTGTGGTATAAAAATAAATGACCATATGGAAAGTGGAAAAACAAGATGTCATGGTAGGTGAGTTTGCATAGAGAGTTTCCTAATGCTTGAGGAAAAATGAGGAAAACTTTCAACTTTTCTAGTCAGGTGTAGTTGACTGATATAAGTGAATTTTTGTTAATAGGACTGGATAATTTCAGGTTCTTTATGATAGTCTTATTTGACTGGCTTTTTTTTTTTTTTTGGTTGTTGTTTTTGTTTTTTTTGAGTTGAAGTCTCACTCTGTTGCCCAGGTTGGAGTGCAATGGCATACTCACAGCCACTGCAGCCTTGACCTGCTGTGCTCAGGCGATCCTTTCGCCTCAGCCTTCCAAGTAGCTGGAACTACAGGTGTGCTCTACCACTCCTGGCTTATTTTTTTTATTTACTGTAGAGATGAGGTCTCACCAAGTTGCCCAGGCTGGTCTTGAACCCCTGAGCTAAAGCAATCCTTGAGCCTCGGCCTCCCAAAGTGCTTGAATTACAAGCTTAAACCACCGCGCCCAACCTATTTGACTGTTTTATATCTTTATGCTTTCTTTCAGAGTGTGTGTGTGTGTGTGTGTCCGTGTGTGTGTCTGTGTGTGTGTTGATGGGGTGTGTGTGTGTGTGTGTGTGTGTGTGTGTGTGTGTGTGTCCCCATGTGTGTGTCTGTGTGTGTGTTGATGGGGTGTGTCTGGGGGTTAAATTTGCCCAGGATTTTGAGTAGACAGAATGAGAAGTTGTTATTTGTGTCAGTGAATTGTGAATTCACTAAGTTCAGGCAGCTTTAGTGGCAGGAAGAGTCAGGAGAACTAGGTTCTGGTTGGTACTGTCACTCTTAGCTGGCTCAGTGACCTGGTGTAAGTTACTTAACCTCTCTGAACATTAGTTTCCTTGTGTAAGAAATGTGACCCTACTCACTTCCCTGACTTGTGGGAACACAGACAATAATGTATATGAGAGTTTACTAGTGAGAATGGGAAAAGCTCTTCATCTGGAGGGAAATTTGCTAACCTGCCTTCCTCTCCCCTTTCCTTATGAGGCGTTCATTATGGTATAGGTGTGACTTGATAAAGATTCAAGGCTAGTCGGAAGTATTTGCATTCAGAGGGCTTCTAAATGTGGAAGCCTGTGATGCTTCTAGCGTGAAACTGGAGTTCCCCTTTACATACTGTTGGCTTCCTCTTGCTCCCCCTAACGAAGGGCCCTAGGCATTTGGAGTCTTAGTGGCGATTTGTCTTATAATTTAGTCTTGAGAAATTCAGGGAAAGATCCTTAGGTGCCTCTGGATGTAAACCCCATAGTCACCTAAGTTATCTAATTGAAACTCTGAGGAGAGGTCGCCTTTCAGGTCCCTTTTCATTTGCTTGTCAAGGATCAATCAGATAGCCATGCTGATATTCTAGTCCAGAAATAGGCTACTTCCTCAGTGTACATACAGAAATTTAGAGTTAAAAGTAGCTTTAGGAGGCAGTGGAATGATATAGAATTGGGTTTGGAATTTTATTTCTTCCCCTTTCAAGCTGTGTAACCTTGGGCAAGTCGCTTAACCTCTCTGAGCCTCCATTTTCTTGTTTGTAAAATACAGGAGAAAGGTTATAATAGTACCTACTTCATATGGATAGTGGGTGCCTTAAAAGAAGTGAGATCTTTAATGTAGCTGACACAGAATTCGTGCTGGGTAATTGTTAGCTTTTATTATTATTACTGTTGTTAGTTTGAACCATATGAAATGGACACTCTTACAGGTCAAAATGGTTGAAAGTTGTCTTGTTCCCTCCATTTTGCCCCTGAAGGGACCAGATAGAAGCAATAAGGGTGACCTCTGCCCTGCCTAAGGCCCACTCATTGATTGTAGCCATTTGACAGCAGTGACAGCTATCAATCCTGCAGTTGTAAGAAACACGGAAGATTCCTTCCAGAACATCTCCAGTGACAGGAGATGTTCTGTCTGGGCCATTTGAAGTTTACCAGCAGGAGGCTGAAAATGAGTGGCAGGAGTAATTTCCTTCTCCTCTTTGTGTCATTTGGGTCCAACATTAGTGTCATCAGGCAGAATTGAGAGTTCTGAAGCATACTGAAGCAGTGATATTATGATAGTTGTATATGTCAGGGACTTATGTAAACATCTAAAGGTCTCAGGTTACTAAATGAGATAAACTCTTGAGGTCATTTTCAGTCTTCAGATTAGAGCCTCATCAAGGTGAGAAATAGGGATGTGTAAATGATTTTTGAAAAGATTAATGTAAAAGATTAATGGTGGAGGGCAGCCCTCCACTATTGTTTTAGCAATGTCAAATAGTTCCTCAGTCTGGCAAGTAGAAGAAAAATCTGGCATCAGATTTGAGCTATCTTTCATCATCAAGAGATAAGCAAGTCCCATTAGACGAATTAATCAAAAGGTATTCAGAGAGGCAGAAGCTGAAGCTGACTCCCTTCCCTTCTGAGAAAGAAATTCTGGAGTTGGGAAAGGTGCCATCCAGCCAAGTAGACATTGGTCCTGAGGGGGAGGGATTAGTTCGGGATCCTGGCCTTGGTCTTTCATAATGTTGCAAAGGAGACCAGATTCCCTGAGGGGTGGAACATAATGTCATATAGCAGCTACCAGTGGAATGATTCACCAAAAGCAAAAGTCACGTGGGATACATCACACATACCTCATCAAGATCTAATGGAAGAAATTTAGTTCCCTATCTGATGAAGAGAGGCATGCTTGACTTGGTGATCTTTGATAATTGGGGTTCTTACTTTATTCATGCCAATTTAATAGTATTTACCTAGAACTTTGAAAGAATTTTTTTTTTTTTTTTTTGAGTTGGAGTCTCACTCTGTCACCCAGACTGGAGTGCAGTGGCCGCTCCCGGCCACTGCAGCCTCGACCTGCAGGGCTCTGGCAATCCTTCCGCCTCAGCCTTCCAAGTTGCTGGAACTGCAGGTGTGCGCTACCACGCCTAGCTAATTTTTTTTTAAATTTATTGTAGAGATGAGGTTTCACCAAGTTGCCCAGGCGGGTCTCGAACCCGCAGGCTCAGGCAAGCCACTCACCTCAGCCTCCCAAAGCGCGGGATTACAGGCTGAGCCACCGAGCCCGGCTTGCAAGAAATTTTTAAAAATTATTCTTTCCCTCTATTTTGTGTTTTCTAAGTTATGTTATTATTCATATGCCCAAAATGTAAGATTCAGATTTAGATACGAAAGTATTTTTTAATTTAAAAATTCCATTATGATAAATGTTTGTGCTATAAAATTCCTCAGCCCACTAACTGGAACAATGTCAATATAATAAGGGAACTGACATTTTCCTACAATGATTATAATTAATGGCATTTGACTGTACATTTCCACCTGGTGCCCTCAAAGGGCAAATATAGCTTCTGAACAAGAATTATCAAGGATCCTTGAGTCAGGATGGCTCCTTCAGAGATGTATAGGACTTATGCTTGTAAGATGGTGAGGTTAGTAAAATTCACATTCGAAACCTTCCTGCCATCATTATTGTGATTCCAGGGGCTGGTCTTCAACATCACAGTCTCAAAAACCTCATTTCATCAGCACACATTTCTCTCTCAAAGGCCAGCTTCTTAACGTTCTTGTGAAAACAATAATGGTGAGGCATTCTAGGAAGACTTCTGTCAACATAATCGGTATATTTCATCCCTGTAGGCAGAGCCTATATGAGAAACCAAATGATAAGTAGGTTTCTTGGCAAGGAATCAGGAATTAGTTGTAAAAAGGTACTTGTCTAAGAATAGCTGGAGGCCCCACTAAGGGTAAACAAACTTCTCTGGGGGACAGAAATTTTCGGTGTCCATGTAGCTAAGCCACCGTCTCTTTTCTCCCCACCAGGATTGTGCCTGCAAATATTTCCTTTTCTGTTTTTCCTTTCTCAGAGTGCTGCCTTGACTGGATCTAAGAGCTGTTTTGTCTCTAAAGTGATTTTGTTTTCATGTCTTTGTTGTGCTTTATTCATTGTTCATTTGCTAGCTACTTTTCAGGGGGCCTCCTTAGGTCCTAGCTTTGGGAATGTCTCACAGTTGCCCTCATGCTCAGCTGGCAGCAGCATGTGACATGACAAAATAGCTCCCTGGGGTGGTACATAGATATAACTGTGGCAAATTTTCCCCTTCGTGGCAATCAGCACGTATATAAAAGGAAATACTATCTCAAACTTGAGTCAGAAACTACTGGAAAACAGGAAGCGTTGTCTTTGGAGCTCTGATTAAAAAGCAACTCCATTCTTAATTATTCCAACTCTGTCAGTTTGGGACATGTTAATTTCCCAGAGAGCCCTTTAATCTCATTATTTGAAATCTTAATAACCAGATTGGTGGTTTATGTCTATGATGTCTATAAGCTGGCTTCCTGTGGTTCCTTAGAGCTTGTCTACTTTTCAGAAAAAGAGTACACATACTCCGTGCATATAGCAACCTTTGAAATTTATATGCATGTGTGAGATAGTCAAAATAGTCAAACAGTACAGAAAGGGTTTAATGCAAAGTCTTTCTTTGGCCCTCAGACACCCCCCTTTCCTTTATCTCCCCAGAACTAACCATGATTACTGGATTCTTAAAACAATCCTTTTTTTAACCTTGATTTTTTTTTTGAGTCAGAGTCTCACTCTGTCGCCAGGCTGTCATGTACACTCATGGCTACAGCAGCCTTGACCTGCAGGCTCAGGTGATCCTTCCACCTCAGCCTTCCAAGTAACTGGAACTACAGACATGTTTCACCGTGCCTAGATAAGTTTTTACTTTTGACTTATTGTAGAGATGAGGTCTTTCCAAGTTGCCCAGCCTGGTCTCGAACTCCTGGCCTCAAGCAATCCTCTCACCTCCACCTCCTAAAGTGGTGGGATTACAGGAGTGAGCCACCACCTTGGCCTGTTTTTTACCTTGATCTTGATGGTATAATACATTTTCTTGGAGATGAATTTTGATAATCATGTTGTTTTCTTTAAAATTGCTTTTAGACAGTTGATGTGTAGCATAGTAGGTTTATAGAAAAATTTCATGATGTTTACACATTTGAAATATGGAAACTAGTTGGGCTTGGTGGCTCAGCCTGTAATTCCAGCACTTTGGGAGGCCAAGGCTAGTGGATCGCCTGAGCCCGTGGGTTTGAGACCCACCTGGGCAACTTGGTGAGACCTCGTCTCTACAATAAATCAAAAATTAGCTGGGTGTGGTAGCACATGCCTGTAGTTCTGGCTACTTGGAAGGCTGAGGTGGAAGGATTGCAGAGCCCAGCAGGTTGAGGCTGTGGTAGCCATGAGTGTGCCACTGCACTCTAGCCTGGGCAAAGAGTGAGACTCTAACTCAAAAATAAAATTAAAATAAAATATGGAAACTTATCTTTTATCTACACCAGTTTTTCAATGGTGGCACTACTGACATTTAGTGAAGGGTTTGCTGTAGGGGGATGGGGACTGTCATATGCATGGTGGGATGTTCAGCAGCGTCCCTAACTTCTACCTACTAGATGCTGGTAGCCATCGCCTCCTAAATTATGACAACCAGAAATATCCCTAACTATTATCAAACATCCCAGAGGGTGGAAGGGGGAGCAAAATCTCCTCTAGCTGAAAATCTGTGCTCTATACCATTTGAGAACTTACTGTTTTTTAAAACACATTTGAGCATGCTGATATTTTGCTATTTAAGTGTATCTTTGCATCTTTGCTGAAGCAACTTTTTTTTACCTCTCCTAACCTTAGAAAATTGCTTCAGAAACTCGTCGTTCAGAAGAAGTTGCCCTGAATGAGAGAATTTGTCTGCAAGTGGGGTCCCAGTGTAGCACCAATGAAAGTGAGAAGCCCAGCATTTTGGTTGAAAAGTGCACCTTGCCCCCTGAAGGTAACAACTGAAAGCACTATCTCTTGATGTTTAGAGACTAACCCCAAATGCTCTATATGCTTATATGTTCATTGTTCGTTAATTCTTTCAGTTCTCAAACATATGCCGAGTCTGATAAGTGCCAGGCACTGTAGTAGGTACTGGCAACACAGTGAAAATATGACAATGCCTCTGCCTTTCAAGGAGCTCACAGACTACTTGAATAACAATGCCTAATAGTTATATAGCACTTAAAATCTGAAAAATGATACACACATGCACACACACACACACACACACATGCACACACACACACACACACACACACACACACACACACACACACACCCTTCCCCTAAATTGAACCTCACAGGCTTATTTCATGAAGTAAGGCATGTATTATTATTACTCTGACCCATTTTATGAGGAAGAAAGGAACTGAGTGACTTACTAGGGGTCTTCACATTCCAGGTCCAGTGCCTTAAAAAAAGAAATACTATCTTACTCATTATATATGGAGATTAGTATGATATGCAAGATATGTTTGGGAAAGGATATTAAAAAAAGCAAAATAGGATGCTGGCCTAGCTTCAGTACAAGTCTAGCCCTTAGGAATAGCTGTCTAGTAGTGAGGTTGGTAATTGTTCCCCAATCCTACCTCACCCAATGTCCTTCTGGCTCGTATGTTACATACAGGGAGTAGTGTATACTGATTAAGAATGGTAATCAGTATAGGCCAGCTGTCTACATTGAAGTCCAAGCTATGCCAGCTATTAGTTGTGTGACCTTGGGCAAATTACTCTCTGCACCTCAGTTTCCTCATCTGTAAAATGGGGATGATGATGGTATCTACCTCCTAAGATCGTTGGGAGAATTGCATAAGTCAGTATATATGAGAAGCTCAGAATAGTGCCTGGCAAATGCTGTGTATATATATTATCTATTTATATTATGTTGTTTCTTGCTTGGGCAGAAGAGGGCCCCATCGCCCACCTCCAAATCTTATCACTAGGTGGCTGATGTTCCATGCTATTCTCTCTACCTGCTTTGCACTGATCACAAACACTTGAAGTACTCTTGGTAATACTATAAACTCCAGGACTGCTAGGAAACTGGGAGCATGTTTTGGTTTTTTGTTGTTGTTGTTGTTGTTGTTTTAATTGGAGTCTTACTCTGTCGCCCAGGCTGGAGTGCAATGGCACATTCATGGCCACCCAGCGTCAACCTGCTGGGCTCCAGCAATCCTTCTGCCCTCAGCCTTCCAAGTTGCCGGAACTACAGTCTCACGCTACCATGCCCAGCTAATTTTTTATTTTTTATTGTAGAGACAAGGTCTCACCAAGGTGCCTGGGCTGGTCTCAAACCCATGAGCTCAGGCAATTCACTCACCTCAGCCTCCCAAAGTGCTGAGATGATAGGCTGAGCCACTGAGCCCGGCCTCTGGGAGCATGGCCTTAAAACAACTTACCTACCCTATTCTCATTTTTTATGAGTTTGATAATCAGAAAAAAGCCCCCAAAATTATACTAAGATGTAAAATAATTGATGATGGCTCAGTACAGGACCCTGTTAAGGATCATGAAGGATAACAAGCTTATATTTTAAACTGAGGCATTTAGTTTAAAGACACGACACCTTAACTAAAATGGCTTTGTGAACATAGAGATTGTTCAGGTCAGAAAGACTTCAGGGCTCCTAAAGTCCCAGCACAAAATAGACAAATACCAAGGGTTAAGTTATGCTTGCCTTTTCCCAGAGTTGCTTCAGGAGGCATGTTTATTTTTTTAAACAAGATGTGTCATATTGGCCAAAAGACAGGAGAGTATATTGTACCTCAATAAAGATTGTTTTAAAGAAAGACGGGTATATATAAAGGTTGTTTGTGTTTCTGCATCCACTTAGGAATTCTATAATCATTGCCTATGATTGAAATATGATTGATCTTTAACTTCTCCAGTTAGATGTGCAAGAGTTAGGGTCCCTCCTAGATAGCAAAGATGATTTCCTTGTATCCAGAGGTCAGAGAGAATGTTGTGAACTAATTAGATTTGGGTTTTCTCCATCCTGGATGATTTCTGGGTACAATGATGTAAGAGATTAGGGATTTGCTTTGTGGTAAAGCAACATGAAACACCCTCACCATCCCCCATGCCACAGAGCAAGTGGCTGGTCTGCGTTACAGGAAAGAAGGGTCCTAAACTCTTGGCCTGGATATTCTAGGTGATCCTGAGTCTGCTGTGACTGAGCTCCAATGCGTTTGGCACAACCTGAGCTACATGAAGTGTTCTTGGCTTCCTGGACGGAATACAAGTCCTGACACTAATTATACTCTCTACTACTGGTGAGTATGTACACTCAAGTTATTGGAGGACTGACTGCGATTGTGTTGGGAGCCTTTGGGTCCAATCTAATTAAAACAACAGTCTATTTCTTTTCTGCAAACCCGAGAAGGTAGGCAGTATGCTTCAGTTGAAAATACATCTGCTTTTGGTGTCTACATAAAAGAAATTCTGTTTTTAAATATAGATCTATCTTGCAAAAAACAAAATGCGTGGAGAGATCACATATACCCTTCAACCAGTTTCTCCCAGTGTATCTTGTGGAACAGTCGTGTGATATCAAAAACAGAAAATTGGCATTGGTACAACCTACCAGCCAGTACTCGTGTGTGTACGAGCACATAGTTCTGTGCAAGTCTATCACATGTAAAGATACAGAATAGTTCCATTACCACAAGGATCCCTTGAATTGCCATTTTATAACCACACCCACCTCCATCGTGCAATCTCCCTCCCTCCACACTCCTGTCCCCTAAGTCTTTAAATTCTGGCAACAACTAATCTGTTTTCCACGTTACTGGAATGGAATCCTGCAGTATATGACCACTTAAGACTGGCTTTGTTTGCTCAGCATAATGCCCTTGAGAGCCATACAACTTGTTGTGTATATCAAGAGTTCATTTGTTTTTATTACTGAGTAGTATTTCATGACATGGATGTACCAGTTTATTTAGCCATTCATTCATTGAAGGGCATCTCAGTTATTTCCAGGGTTTTTTTCCTGTTATGTATAAAGTTTCTACAGTTATTCATTTACAGGTTTTTATATGAGCATAACTTTTCATCTCTCTGGAATAAATGCCCAAGAGTGCAATTGCTGGTCATAGGGTAATTGCATATCTAGTTTTATTTTTTAATAAACTATTTTTTGCCAAACTGTTTTCTAGAGCAGATGGAGCATCTTACATTCCCACCAGCAATATATGAGTTATTGGTATTTACTTTTTTTTTGGAATCGGAGTTTCACTCTGTCACCCAGGCTGGAGTGCAGTGGCACACTCACAGCCACAGCAGCCTCGACCTGCTGGGCTCAAGTGATCCTTCCACCTCAGCCTTCCAAGTAGCTGGAACTACAGGCACGTGCCACCACACCTGGCTAATGTTTTGATTTATTGTAGAGACGAGGTCTCACCAAGTTGCTCAGGCATTCCTCTCACCTCGGCCTCCAAAAGTGCTGGGATTATAGATGTGAGCCACCGCACCCGGTTGGTGTTTGCTTTTAAAAAGGAAAATTATATCTATGCCCAGGGTCAAAAAGTAGTTTAGCTACCCACAAAATCACTTTGATATTTTTATATTTGATACTCTGGTATTTGGTGTTTGTGAGTATAACTCCTACAAACTTCATTAAGTCTTCCATCATTTCCTTTCCTTTATTTTTAAAATTTTAAATTAAAAAAAATTTGAGTTGAGATTTTAACCTTGTCACACAGGCTGGAGTACAGTGTCATGATCACAACTCACTGCAGTCTCGACCTCCTGGGCTCAGGTGATCCTCCTGCCTCAACCTCCTGAGAAGCAGGGACTACAAGTATAAACCACCATCCCTGGCTAGTGTTTTTAATTTTTGTAGAGACAAGGTCTTGCTATGTTGCCTAAGCTGGTCTCCGATGCCTGGGCTCAAGTGATCCTCCTGCCTCAGCCTTCCAAAGTGCTAGGATTATAAGTGTGAGCCACTACATCCAGCTCATTTCTTTTTTTTAGAGCCTAGAATTATTAGGAACAGAGGAAGGAAGAAAGGACCAGATTAATCCATTTCAATTCAGTAAACCTTTATTTATAACACTTTGTTAGTAAAGCACTAAATGCGCAGGAAAGGCAAGAAACATGTCTCTTCATTTCCAAAGCTTAAAATACAGAGAAGGAGATGGTGTCTGGCGTGGTGACTATATTAAAATAAGACAATGTATGCCAAAGGCTGTTGCAGAGGGATAGACAGATTCCTATGGGAAGTTAGGGTGGAGTTTGGGGTGGTGGCAGGAATGTGGGGAGAAGTGATCGGAGTGGGGGAAGCTGGGAGGTCTTGATGAAGGGGAAAGACTGCCAAAATGGGGGAGTTTCTCAGAGGCTGGCCTCTAGGGAAGAGTGTTCTGAGGAATATTCAATCCGCGTGATATCAGGGCGGAGAAGGGGCGATCTAGTGCCAGCACATGGCCTTGTCCCCCTGACTCATTTGTTAAGACTGCTTCTGAGATAACGGGGTGTGGAGAGCTGTATCCAGGACTTTTTTTTTAAAGACAGGGTCTTGCTCTGTTGCCCAAGCTAGAGTGTATTAGTATGATCACAGCTTACTGTAGCCTCAAACTCCTGGGCTCGAGCAATCCTCCTGCCTCAGCATCCCACGTAGCTAGGACTGCAGGTATTTGCCATGCCCAGCCATTTTTTTCTTTTAATTTTGATTTTTTGTAGAGATGGTGTCTCACTATGTTTCCTAGGCTGGTCTCTAACTTCTGAGCTCAAGTGATCCTCCCACCTTGGCCTCCCAAAATGCTGGGATTACAAACATGAGCCACTATGCCTAGACATGTGTCTAGGACTTTTGAAGCTACTGGATAAACGTGTCCTTTCATCCTGGAGTGTCTATTTTACCTGATAACTTGATGAAAAGTATTTTTTGGTACATTAAAACACTCATGACTATCTCAAGGAATAGAATGCAAAAAAAAAAAAAAAACCACATTTCTGAATGAAAACCTTCAGGCTGGGTACAGTGGCTCATGACTATAATCCCAGCACTTTGGGAGGCAGAGATGGGAGGATTGCTTGAGCCCAGGAGTTCAAAACCAGCCTAGGCAGCATAGCAAGACCTCATTTCTACAATAAATAAAAAGTAAAAAGATTAGCTGGGCATGGTTGTATGTGCCCGTAGCCCCAGCCACTCGGAAGGTTGAGGCAGAAGGATCACCTGAGCCCATGAGGTCAAGATTGCAGAGAGTTGTGATCATGCCACTACGCTCCAGCCTGAGTGACAGAGCAAGACCTTGACTCAAAAAAGAAAAGAAAAGAACCTCCAAAGCTGCCATGGGGTTCACATTCACTCTCTTCCCCGGTGGAAGAGTCCTCCTGGCAGTGTTGGGAAGTGCTGCAGGTGAAGCCAGAGGGATGGAGATTGTGTGGTTCTGTCTGGAGGTTTGTTTTTTTCCTCCCTGATGTAAATAATTCTTATTTGTGGTTTTATGGTTTCACTTGAACACTCTTGGCACCTGTCGTTTCTCCTTTACTTAACACCCTTCCAAGTAATTCAGCCAAAACTTAGGGTATTGAGAAACAGACAAAGGTAGGAGTTGTTATATATAAACAGTGGGAAAAAGGACTATTTTTTGTGGGCAAATGCTTCATTTAAAAAATTGGCATATGAATGTAAATTAATAGTCTGATCAAATGTAGCAGTGGCTGCTAAATCACTTAAAAGCTGGATTAAATATGACCTTTGATAAAAGGAACTGATCTTCAGATCATTGAATTTTCAGGGACATTAAAGTCTCAAGATATATATACTTCCATGGCTCCCTGGTGGCTTTGAGTTAATGCTCAAACTTTTCAGCATTACAGACAAAGCTTTTTACCACCTGGCCCCCCACTGACCTCTCCAGTCTCAGTTATGTCTCCCTCCCTGCTCCCCTGCTTCTCTTGCAGCCTACATCTGCCCACACTGAACTTCTTTCAGTTCCTCACACTGACTCTTCAAATACTCAAACAGAACATTCCAACAGAACAATGGAAGCATTCTTCATCCTCTTGCAGCCCAGGCCTTTTCTTTTCACCTGGATGCCTCATCTTTGTTCATATCACAGCTCAGATAACATTTCCTGTCCAAAAAGCCTTCCTTGACCTCTCAAGTGTCTCTAGATGTGTGCTCCTTCCTCTTGTCCCATGGCACCTCACACTTTCCTGTATCATAGTACTCTCTGCATTGTGTTGTCACTTCCTGTTTACTTAGCAGTAGCCTGCCACAGACTGCTACCTCCCATGAGAGCAGGGTCTGTGTCTTGTTCCTCCACTGAAGCCTGACGAATGGTAGGAGTTCCATAAGTAAGTTGTGAATGTTTGGTAGTATCCAAAGCTGGAGAACATTCAGGTTTGGGTTGAGGACTTAGGAGGTATCAGCAACTGAGGAGCATTGTAGTTCAGGAATAAAAAGAGAGAAGGATTCAGTAGATCTGGCTTCCTGAAGAATTGCTAATGAAGGGGTCAAAGAACAAAGCCTTAGAAGGAATAGACTGGTTCTGTGGTGTGGCAGTGAAGTTTAGGGAGAGCTGTTGCACAGGCTTTTAAGATGTCCTATGAATTGATAACATTCCTGTATCTATTATGCTGTTAACCTTTTTGTTTTCCCTGGGGTCATTGGGAAAACCTTTCAAGAACCTGTGTCTCTATATAAGGGTCGGTAAAATAAAGGAAGAAATCTTAAAACTATATCTCATTCCATGGCAGACTGTGCAGAAAAGGAGCCCAGCATATTAGAATCGGGGTGGCATCGGAGTTAGACCGTAGCCTAGTCGGGGCTATTTTCAGATAAAAATAAGAAAGTGCCTTGGGGATATACTAGCACAAATCAAGTATCAGTGCAAATTGCAAAGAGTATCCCCTCTGGGTGAATGAATTAAAAAAAATTGGACTGACCAATTCGAAAAAGCATCCATGTTCCTCTGGGTTGAAGTGTTCCTCTTCCTCTGGTCTTATGCAGGCTCTTGCCAAAGCTGACAGCAGCAGATGGTTCTTGGACCGGCTTTCAGCCTTCAGTTGATGTCTTTTTTGCAGGGCCCAATTTATACAACCACTGAGGTTGCTCAAAAAGCAATACCAATACAGTGGTAGTTTTCTGGCATCTGGGGTGGGGCAGATATCAAGGACCCTACTTCTTGTTATACACAATCCCAGAGCTAGTCTTCAGCAGGGGCTCTTTCTGTGGTGTAGACCTGTGCTGTCCAATACAGGAGCTGCTAGCTACATGTAGATATTTACATTTTAATTTAAATTAATTAAAATAGAATGGAATGAAAACTTAAGTTGCCCAATCTCACTGGCCAGTTTCCAAGGTAACCAGTGGCTCTTTTATTGGACAGCACAGATATGGAACACTTCTATAATCACAGAAAGTTCTGTTGGACAGTGCTAGTATATACTCTGTTGTGTCTCTCACCACCTGTCCTCACCACCTCGCAGCTTATCCTTTCTGAAGCCACACTTCTTGGGTTCAAATGCTGGCTCTCTTCCTTACTGCAATGTGATTTTGGGCCTCAGTTTTGTAATCTGTAAAATCAAGATGGTAATAATAGTGTTACCGCCACTGCTGCGGCTGCCTCCTCCTCCATCTTTGAGTCAGAGTCTCACTCTGTTGCCCAGGCTGGAGTGCAGTGGCATGATCACGGCTCCCACAGCCTCGACCTGCTGGGCTCAGATGATCCTTCTGCTTCAGCCGTCCAAGTAGCTGGAACTACAGGCGTGTACCATCATGCCCAGCTAATTTCTTGATTTTTTGTAGAGACGAGGTCTTGCCTTATTGCCCAGGCTGGTCTTGAACTCCTGGGCTCAGGCAATCCTCTTGCCTCGGTCTCCCAAAGTGCTGGGATTGCAAGTATGAGCCACCGCCCCCAGCCAGTGTCTAAATCGTAATGTTGCTGCAAAGACTGTTATTATTTGAAAAGTGTATGGAGCCATGACTAACTGCTGGCATCTGTATAAGAGTAAGCACTCAATACATGATAGCTATCATCATGGATTTTTTAGTATCCATCCCCACTCCCTTGCAGATGTAGTCAGTACACAGTGCTGGCCTCTTCCCCCATCCCACAGAATGAGCACCTATAACATACCTCCTTCTCCCTTGCTCTCCCCTAGATAGATCCTTTCTCATTAAAACCACCAAAGAAAGGGAGTCAAGACACAGTGCTCATTGGTGAGCACCAGAAATGGTTTAGGTACCTGTGTAAATCACATCAAACAAACTGCCGAAGACTATTTTCCCTAATTTCTAACCAGAAAATGTGGAGTCATTTTTTTGAATTCAAGATAATTCACTGAAACCTGTTAGGTAACACTCCCAGCAGGGCCTCTAGAATGTTTGTTAGATCAGGCCTGCTGGGGGTGTGGGTGTCTCTGGTGTGAGATCTGGTGCCACACGAAAGATGCAAAGCATTGCATAGAAGTTAAATTGAAAAATAAAGTTGATTTAGAAAGTAAATTACAGAGAGAAAGAGATTCACCTCTCCAAGGTAGGAGAGGGGGACCAAAGCTTAGGAAACATGGCAACGGCCGTAGCTCAAAGAGCACATGACCACACCATAGTCTAGTAAGGCAAATGGCTCCTGGTTGCTCATGGTTGAGTTCTTTTAATCCTTCCCTTTGATGAGGGAAGGTCATCAAGGTGATTGAGCGGTGGTCTGCTCCACCTCATCAGGAAGGGGGCAGGTAACTGACATCAGGTGAAGGACAGCAGACAGATGGGTGGGTTAGTCACGTGACTGCTGCCATGGTGGTGGGGTCTGTCAGTGTCATGAATGTCAGAAGGTCTGATTAGATTAACTTGGGTCTTATGGGTGGAGGCAAATACTTGGAATACAAAAACTAGTTAGTAACAAGCTGGGGAGGGGGAGTTGTAAAGCAAGTATCAATAGCTACCTCTGAGATACCGGTTGTGTCCTTGGCTAGTGATTAGAGGGTAAGTTAAGTAAACTGCTAGAAAAACATGGGATTTAGGCAATGTTAAAATGGCTGCTTATTAGGTATATTAAATCCATGTTATGTTCTTTCAAAACCCTAGGGCAATGCCTTGTGTCCCTGCAGGGGCAGTCTGGCATTGATAAGAGCCTGACCTGAACAGCTGGAGATTAGCCAAGTCAATGAATTTTAGGGAATTTCTTACCACACTAATCATCTTTTAGGTTAGGGGAATAGTCTTTAATCCGTCCATTTCCTCATGTCTGCAGTGTGATTCTGTGAATGAATTCAGTGTGTACATTCTAGCCCTTAGGCACTTGGATGTCCCTTCTGAGGGGGACATCGTAAATCTAGCAAACCACTTGGCTGGCCCCTCTCAGGAGACATAAAGAGATTGGTGGTGATTATACAAGATAAACGTATGCAAGTGCAAAGTTTTCAAAAATGCATGTTTACTTCAAGTTCTCCAAACTGCATGAAAAAGCAAATGAAGAGATGGAATATATACTGAGATATGATTGATCAGTTGAGAAGTGGTTTTTCAGGAATCATGAATACGTCCTTCCACATCTCCTTCAAACAACAGACTGGACAATATATTACCTATTATTAATTAGGGAGGAAGAAAATGAGACTACATTGCTTGAATAGAAAAACACCAGGTTAAAGACGTCAAGCAATTTACTATTGCACAACATGTATTAATGGACCTGCAAATCATGTCGGTGATTGTTTCACGTGTTACCACACATTAGAAAAATATAAGAAAAATTTTTGATTTGTTTGGTCATAAGTTCCTCAATGTCCAAAACTCCATTATAAGCCACATATCATTACAGTAAAATAATTGGAACCAATTATTTTACTATACTATTTAATATGAAGTGATTCGTTTTTCGCTATTTTGTGAAAATGTGAGGTCGAGTTGCTGGAAGGTGATCTGAGAGATGTCTCTGAGTGCAGAGGGTTAACAGGAATCATTTGCTATCTTAGGTTATCATCTAATCTTTCACAAGAAACCCAAAATGTTGTCTATAGAGAGCCAGTATTTTCCCTTTTATTATTTCTAAATTACAACAAAATTGTTTTAATATTTCATATCTGGAACCCACGGGTTTATATAAGATACTCAGGGTACAAAAATGAAGACAGGAGCTGAAATATTGTGCATTAGAGTTCATTTCATTATAAAAAGTCAATTTTATACCTAGGTTTCTTTGGTTATGTAAGAAAAATGTCATAAGATTTTTTCAGTTTCTGTTTTTGGCTGTGGGCAGAAAACATTCCAGGACTGTCTGATCTAAAAACTAGTCATGACAGTAACTTAATTTTTAAAATACTGTTAGTTTCATAAACCACAGAGGCCTGCAACTAGGAGAAAAAGCTTATGTACTTCCTCTTGAAAGAAAAGAGCATTTTTTATATTGAAGCAGTTCTTTGCATAGCCTTTGAAGGAGTAAATACGTTAGCTCTGAGTTTTTTTTTTTTTTAACCTGATTTGCACCTTGGAGAATTGCTGTAAGGACACTGGTTCCCAGGCCCTGGCAAAACCTTCTAAGTCAGACCTTTTGGGAGAAGGTTTGAGGAATCTGCATTTTAAATTACTACAGACAATTCCAAGGGAACAGGTCAAGGGTTAGGGACTCTTTACTCTTAGTTCATTATTTTTAAATTGTCTTCCTTTTCTGCAGAATCTTTGCACAACTCCCATTGTAGCTGATGATGTAAGGCTTGAATCTTCTGCCAGTTACTATAAAACAGAATTCTCTGACAGCCTAGGCAAAAAACCAAATGTGATGAATACATTCTGTCTCTGCCCTGTGCTAGGTGCTGATAATCACTGGGGAAAGTATGTGTAGAGGTGAAGTGGGAAAGAAGGTACCAGCAGTACTACTTATGGAAGCCGTTAAAAGCCACACAGTGGAGTGAGACACTTAGAAAGTTGTTGTGTTTGGAATAGCTGATCTGGCAGTGAATGCAAGGTACTAATAATGAAGGTCAGGGAGGTCAGTCTGGGGAGGAAATGAAGCCTGAAGTGATTAGTGTATGAATCAGAGAGTGGACAATGGGAGTGTCAAAGAAGATGAGAATCCAAGAAGCTTTGCAAAGAAAGAGAGAACAGAATTTGATGGTAGAATTCAGAAAAAGGGGGAAGGAGGATAATTTCAAAGTATGTGATTTAGGAGCCCAGAGAAAATTAGCCCTGACTAATGGAAATGGGAAGGTTGAAAGAGAAAGCATTTTAATGGGTAAGAGTGTGCATGATATGTTTTGGAGACTGAGGCAAGAGTGAAACACTCAAATGGAACAGTTGGAAATCTAGAACTAGCTCCAAGGTGAGAGGGCAGGATAGGAGTCCCCAGCACAGAAATTAGAGTCAAGGAATGGGAGTGATAAACTGGAGGTGAGTGGATGAGGGAGGCAGAAATACAGTGAGACCCCTGTGGAAAGAGGAAGGAGGGAGAAAACAAGCCCCCAAAAAACAAAAAAACAAAAACCAAGGAAGGAGCAGGCAGAGACCAGAGGTGACATGGAATTCAGCAGCTAGGCTTTTTCTTTTCTTTCTTTTTTTTTAACCCCAGATCCTGTCGCACTCCTAGGAACAGAGAGGCCATCTTGGGCAACTCTATATCGTGCAGTCAGAGAACCTTCCTCTGTCTTCCTGAATATATGCCAAGCACACACTGGGCCTGTAGATAGCCATTTTCAAGAAGCATAGAATTTCTAGTCCTGACCTCAGAACATCTTTTCTTATACCAAAGATGAAATAGTTAGGACTCTTGTAGTTTCTGTAGCTGGTGATAGTACCAATGTTCAGTAAAAAGGAACAGTCTTTTCTTCCTGGTGTATGAAATGAGCACATTGTAAAATAGGGGTTTTAAAAAATCTATCTTGCCATATTGCAAATATTTCTTTTCATGGAAATCTCTTTCAATCATAAAAAAACCTCTTCCCTTGTTTCTTGAATACCTTGTTAAAAATTATGAAGACAGTTGTCTCATTTTATCTTGTAGGCACAGCGGCCTGGGAAAAATTCATCAGTGTGAAAATATCTATAGAGAAGGTCAACGCAGTGGTTGTTCCTTTGATCTGACTAAAGGAAAGGATTCCAGTTTTGAACAAAACAGTGTTCAGATAATGGTCAAGGATAATGCAGGGAAAATCAGACCATCCTTCAATATCGTGCCTTTATCTTCCCGTGGTAAGTTTTAGACGTCCTCTATGCCAATGTGGATAAAGACTGTGTTATGTCTTTTGAACACTCAATACAAATAATAAAAAATGGTGATTTTTTTGGTCTTAAGATCTTTCCAAAACAAGGGGCTATATTTATGTATAACTTTCTTTGGTAGATTATTTTTAAAGGCATAAACTTGGAAATTCTAATATGTATTAAACACATGTGCCAGATGCTGCCAGTCTTGCTTACTTGGGAGTGTGTTGAAACTTACAGCAGTTAGTTGTAAATCAAGATTGGAATTGTCTCAGTCCATTTTCTGTTGCTTGTAACAGAATACCTGAAACTGAGTAATTCATAAAGAAAGGAATTTGTTTCTTACAGCTATGGAGGCTGAGAAGTCCAAGGTTGGGGGACTGCATCTGATGAGAGCCTTCTTGATAGTGGGGACACTTTGCAGAGTCCTGAGGCAGCACAGAGCATCACATGGCAGGGGCTTAGCATGTTAACTCAGGTTTCTTTTCCTCTTCTTACAAAGCCACCAGTCCCACTCCCATGATAACCGATTAATCCATTAACTCATTAATCTATGAATGAATCCATTCACAAAGGCAGAGCCCTCATGACTCAGTCACCTCTTAAAGGCCTCACCTCTCAGTACTGCCACATTGGACATTAAGTTTCTTTTTTTTTGAGTTGGAGTCTCACTCTGTCACCCAGACTGGAGTGCAGTGGCCGCTCCCGGCCACCGCAGCCTCGACCTGCTGGGCTCCGGCGATTCTTCCGCCTCAGCCTTCCGCGTAGCTGG